CGGGACAGACTTACAGGCTTAGCATATAATACAAAATACCGACTTACGTTATATTTCGTACATAATCTCATAGTCTGAATATAATTGACACTGATAAATTTATTAATATAGTTTAATTCAAGTAAATAGTTGTAAGTGGACAATTTTATGAGAAATATTTAATTGGAAGAAAAGTTAAACGACCCCTTAATCAACATAACATTTAAACTATAGATTGAGTATGAACCAATGATTACTATTTCTCTTATATTAAGAATAAGTAATATAAATTTTAATGATTATTGAAACAAACAGTCAATAGAGTAATTGAATTTAAAAAATATACATTTCTTTTCTGTCTTATTGTCATACTTATAGATCTCTTCTTTTAAATGATATTTGTGAAACTTGTCATAAGTTATAATACTATCAACAATTGTTTGCTTGTATTAACTGCTTATATTAATTGTTATCAAATATACTTAACTATCTATGACAATAGATATTTAACGTCAGTCATTTTTTCTAATTAAATAAGCAGTCTCTCTTAATCGAATTATCTATACATTTGTTATAAAAGATATAAAAAAATTAATTAAAATCAGAACTACACTGTCTAAGTATAAAAAATTTAAATTAATTTAAAGTATATTTTTGTAACATCTCATATAATCTTATGAAAAAGATCTTTTCAAGTACCTCTTAAAGCTTTCTATCAAAGAAAGTAATTAAATATCTTATTGCATAGAATAACCAATATAAATTCAATTCTATATGCTTCGGTCTGTTTTGTTTACATCAATAATAAACGAAAAATCGTCTTATATTAAGCCATGCTTACTGCGTTAGCACTTATTTTCTGTCCCGGCCGAAAATTTAGTAAGTATATAGTAAGTGACTTACTAAATTTAGTAAGTACTTACTTCGGCCAAACACGCCCAATGATTTACACCACTTCGTTTATCCCTGATTTAAAAAAATAAATCAAAATGATTAACTCATTATCGACTATATTTATGTAGTGTACATTTATATTGTATCGAAATCAAATCTGTTGAATGTTTTTTTTTTTTTTTTTTTTTTTTTTTTTTTTTTTAAGCCAGGGATGTGACGGTCTTTATGATTAATGTGTATGCACACAAGAAAAAGTTTATTTTGATCACGTAACATTAATAATTTCTTCATTTTCTTCATTGTCAGTAAGATCATCGGTAGATCTTCGTGGACTCGCAAGAGGACTAGCATCATTATATTCGATTCTGGGTCTGTCACCATCAGTATCACTTAAGTCAGGATTTGGATTGTTTTTATTAGGTAATGTTTGTTCTCGTGAACCACCTAATGCCATAAGCTGTCTTTCTTTGTTGTTTCTCCATTTCATTCGGCGGTTTTGAAACCAAATTTTTACCTGAAACGAGGAAAAAACAATTATAATTATTTAAAATTGGTACTCTCTGAAAAACATACGACAAAATGATGATAACATGTATTCTTTAGTCAGAATTTTCAAATTATAAAGTAGATATTTATACACTGTAAAAAAAGCCGTGTTAAAAATGGAGTCATTTTAGCACCGCTATGTAACACTTGTGTATCAACACCGGTGTAGCGGTGCTCTTTTGCGGTGTTAAAAATCCGGTGTTAAACCGGTGTGATACCGGTGTTACAGTAGAATAAATTTACACCGTATCAGAGTATGAATATTACATTCACCATAAAATACAATTAATAATCAACATTTATCAAAATGAGACAAGTAACATTCAATTAAAAATTTTCAATTTATAAAATAAGGCATAAATCGATTTAATGAATGTTATACAGCAAGTTAAATAATATTTACAACATTAAATGTTTAGGAACAATATAATAATTATTTTCATCGTAACTCTGATGTTTCTCATAATATAATGGATATTTTAAACATGATAAATTAATAAATTGATAACTTTGCTTTTTTTTTCAGATATTACATTTGCACATAAACTCATATTGTAATACATAATCTCCCATAGCTTACACAACAGCATTATATTATGATTATAAAAGAAAATTCTTTGAATTTCACCGTAAATGGGTAATTCGTAAATTCTTAAATTGTCCCACAAATGTCCTAAAATTGTCCAAAAAATTTTTCATCCAGTAATTTTGGGACAAATCTACACCCGTGCAAAAATATATTTTTTTTTTTTAAATCACTAGAAATTCGAACGCGCTTTGCACACTTCTGTCAAAATTTTTATTATCGACAATTTAATTAATCAATATTTTTACAAAGGCCATAGGCCGATAAGTATAGTGAATCGGCCCCAGAAAGATATCTGGCTTATAATTTCAGGGTATGTTGGTACTTATAAGATACTTCGATACTGCAAGTTTCCGCTCTTCATCTAATACCGTTTTCGAGAAAATCGAAAAAAGCTGAAATTAAGAAAAAAATGATTTTCTCAGAAACCCGTGAGCCGATTGATTTGAATTTTTAATGTTTTGGGGGATGATGGTAGCTTCTAGGAAAAAAATTATGAGCTATATTGGTTCATAAGAACCTCGAAAAAAATGACGTTTTTCTTTTAATTTTAATTTTTAACTATGATAGAGTTCTGGCACAATTATGAAACTATTTTTTTTGAATTTCTCATCCAATTTCCTGTGGAATTATGACTTTTACGAATATTAATAAATGGTACGCCGTGTTGAAAAAAAATAGAAAATCATTTTTTTATTAAAAAATCAAGTTATTTCAATGTTTTTATTCATTAAACACTAGTTATCGCTATATTTAAATATATTATTTTTTACATAGTAAGAAAGATTTTCTGTGATCCTCATGACTAATCCTCCTCACTATCTTCATCAATGACCGTCAATATTTGAACTATTTGGATATCTAGAGTTACAGTCAACAACCAAGTTTTCTATAAGTTGGGTTAGTTCTGACGATCTTAAAATACTCCAATTGGAAAAAACCTTTAACCTATCTAAATTCTCTTCATAAAAACGTTTTTTTATCAGATGGTCTCTGCAGCATCGATTTCCATTCGGAATAAAAATTCGTCGCTTGATGAAGCATTGAGTACGTGCATCTTGAGGAACAAGTACAAGATTAGTATTTGAAACATTACACACACAACAGTATCTGTGAGTAGCAACAGTTCTTTCAATTTGAATTTCAATACAATCCTCTGTATCATGAGATACAAAATTCAAATGATATGATGGATCATCAGAGCTTGATTTCGACAAAGTCATCGATGATAAGTTTGATTCAGTTCTTTCTAACATGCCACTCAAATCACTTATATCTGAAGTCAATTCATTTTCTCCAAATGTTTCCGTTTCTTCATCATCAAGTTTCATTTTTTTATATTTTTTTACACGGCAACATGAGCACACAATATCACCAACTATAATTGGACAGTCGAAAATAGTTGAAAACTCTGCAGCATCTCCATCATTTTCTATATGTTTTGGAGCACCAGGTACTTTTTTTATGAATTTTGAACAAACACAACATTTTGGATTGTTATTTTTAGACGTAGACATATTTGTATTTATATAGAATCAGAGTAATAAGTCCTTTTTATATTTTGGAACAAGCGATAATAGAAAAACAAACCGAGCTTTTTCTTAATGTAAACAGTGAATTTGAAGGTTGGTTTGTAAATATGTCATTTTTAATTAAAAGTAGAAAATAAGGTTACCGACTTGTAATAACAGTGCCATCTTACAGTTACTGAATGAACTAATTATTATGCGGGAACAATAATATTAATTAAAACGTAGTTATCGAATACATAATGGAGAATAATATTCGAGTGAGCACCATTCCTGCTGTTCATTGAATAAAAACATTAAAATAATTTGATTTTTGAATAAAAAAATGGTTTTCTATTTTTTTCAACATGGCGTACCCTTTATTAATATTCGTAAAAGTCATAATTCCACAGAAAATTGGATGAGAAATTCAAAAAAAATAGTTTCATAATTGTGCCAGAACTCTATCATAGTTAAAAATTAAAATTAAAAGAAAAACGTCATTTTTTTCGAGGTTCTTATGAACCAATATAACTCATAATTTTTTTCCTAGAAGCTACCATCATCCCCCAAAATATATTAAAAATTCAAATCAATCGGCTCACGGGTTTCTGAGAAAATCATTTTTTTCTTAATTTCAGCTTTTTTCGATTTTCTCGAAAACGGTATTAGATGAAGAGCTGAAACTTGCAGTATCGAAGTATCTTATAAGTACCAACATACCCTGAAATTATAAGCCAGATATCTTTCTGGGGCCGATTCACTATACTTATCGGCCTATGGCCTTTTAGTCATTAATATTTAACCGTTGCCATGGTAACCGCTGCCATAGTAACCGTTGCTATGGTAACCGTTGCTATGGTAACCGTTGCTATGGAAATCGTTGCCATGATAATCGTTGCCAAGGTGGTAACCATAGCAATGAAAAGCGACAACAATGAAAATGTCACATCAACAAAAGTGTAGTTTTACTTTGAATTAACACTTGAGTGTGTTAAAAAATGGATGGATTGATCAATACAAACAGTTTGTGTAGAATTAACATAAATTTTATGTAAAAAAATCATATACACAAAATTTTATGTTAAATTTTACGAAAATTTTTTTACTGTGTACTCAAAATTTTCTTAGTAACATCCATTTTTTGTAGAAAACAAATTTATTATATGTTTTTTACGTATTCTATTTAAATAAGTAGCAAAATTTATTTTTCACATATCATAAGAACAATTTATCGGTTATGTGATCAGTAGGGCCAGGACTTTCGCAGCAGTTCTTGGCCTTAGTGATCAGCAAAACTAACATGTATGTTAAATTCTTAGTCCGTTGACTGAATGAACTACATGTAATATTAAGTTTTGGAAACCTTACAATGACATTTTACCCGCTGCCAAAGAGACAATTGTTGTAAGGAAATTTTTAGTAAATTTTATTGAAATTTAATAGACATGTCCTAAATTCCATGTTTCAAAAAGTTCTAATTTATAAACAACAACATTTTTTCTATTCTACTCATTTCCCTGACACAGCCTGCATATGAAACTATTGTTTGGAAATAATAATTGTTCGTTGTTAACGCCCCCACAATTCCTATTAAGGTTGGAATTTAATTAATAAAATCCATTCTTAGCTGAACTTGACACGAAGATTTCTACCAAATTTGAAGTCTGTAGGAACTATAGCTAGGAAATTTGAAATTTTAATTGTTAATATCTACCCCTGCAATCCTTATTTAGGTCGGGTTGTCGTAAAATCCTCATTTAGATTACTTCTACATCACACATAGAAGACTCCTACCGAATTTTGGAGTCTGTAGGAGCTATAGCTCGGAAATTTACAATTTTCAATGTTAATACCCACCCCCGCTATACATATTAGGAGTAGATTTTCATAAAATCCGCTTTTAGATCATTTCTTCATCACATACAGAAGATTCTTACCAAATTTGGGCCTTATAGGAGCTACAGCTCGGAAATTTTTAATTTTCATTGTTGACATTCACCCCCGCAACCCCCTGTGGGAGTGAGATATATCATTTAGAGTTATTATAAATTAATCCTCACAATATTCACAAATGTAATTATCGGTACTGTACTTGGTAATAGGTTTGTAGGAAAAAACATTTCACTCAATTTTTTTTCTGTAAATGTAGGGGAACGATTGGTATTATATTAACAATAGTTTTTCTGAGTAATATAAAAGTGAATGCAGTTGTCCAGGAGAGAAATAAAAACATTTTTGACGTGAGAAACAACTTTGCCATGAAAAAAAAAATTTTTTTTGGAACTTTGGAAAAATTCCGGTGAATTGAGTCAAAGCTGGACGAGAGTAAATCCACTTGATAGTAAAAAGCCACAAAAAATAAAAACCGGCTTAGGTGGGTAGTCTTGCTCCACCCTCCCCTACAAACAGCCGCACGGACACCATCGCGGGAATAGTCAGGGAAGCTTCCTGTGACCTGAAAACGTCGAGATCTGATGAAAACTTAATTTTCGCAAAACGGTGTAAAACCAATAACTTCCCGATTTTTGAAAATTTTCAATTTTCTTAGTGGGAAGTTAAAAATACTTAAAATTTATGAAATAATTACTAAAATGCACTATTTTGAAATTTCCGATTATTTATGTAATGTCCCAAAATTGTCCTATAAATTTCCTTTATTGTGTCACATTTGGATGTCCACGCTTAGGACAATTTTTTTTACACGGGCAACCGTATAAATGTATAATTCACGATAACTTTGCGTTCAGGAATTAAATATCGACTCTACTCGCTGAAAAATTTATGGTAATTTCCAATTTTCAAATTGTATCGACGCAGCAATTCGTATTTGTAATCATACATTTT